GCGATGTCGCATCGCGGCGGCAGCGGCGGCGATCGCGATCGCGTCGCGGGAACTCGAGTCGCGCGCTCGAGAAAGAGGAGCGTCGGGGGATTGTCCGCCGCCAACGTCGCTTTTCTGCGATCCATGGGTTTCGTCGTACCGAGAGCCGCGCGATAGTTCGACGACATGAGGGACATTCTGAGCATCGGCGGGGAACCCGTCTTCGACGATCGCATCGTGAAGATCGAGAGTCACACGTACAATCCGTACGCCAACACCACTTTCAGATACAGCGACGAGATATGAATACCCATACAACAGCAGGATCTATACACGCTGCCGTGCGAGAGTTTTCTCTACGTCGAAGGTAGACTGCATGCGAAGAATAATCCGCCGCCCGCGTCGAGCCGTGAATCGGGTAAGCCTGTCTCGGCCTCTAAGGAGCCGTCCGTGTCCTCGACGCCGGCGTGGCTTGTGAACAATTGCGTCGCCTTATGTTCGAGGAGATACGTTATGAGCTCGATGGCGTGGAGATCGATCGTAATCTCAACGTCGTATTTCGAATAACTAGCACGATCAAGAACTATGCCTCGCTGACGGCCGAACGAGGCAAGATCTTGAAGAACGCCGGATGGAATCTCGCGACTGGACCGAGCGGCGTCACGTCGACGGGCGACTTCAACTTCTGCGTTCCTCTCGACACGCTGCTAGGTTTCTGCGAGGATTACAGGCGCGTCGTCATCAACGCGCGTCACGAGCTGATTCTGATAAGAGCGCGAAACGACAACAATTGTCTGATATCGCGCGAGGAATTCGAGCCGAGAGTCGAGCTCGCGAAGATACAGTGGCGCGTGCCGCACGTGGTGCTAAATGACGTCAATAAATTATCGCTGTTGCGCACGTTGGACAGCGGCAGATATCTGAGCGCGCTCTTTCGCTCGTGGGATCTCTACGAGTTTCCGCTCCTGCAAAGCACGACCAAACACTCGTGGGCCGTAAAAGCGGCCACGCAGCTTGAGAAACCGCGTTACGTCATCTTCGCGTTGCAGACCGGAAGGAAGAACGTCCTGTCGCAGGATGCTTCCAGATTCGACGCGTGCAATCTGACCAACGTAAAGTTGTATCTCAATTCCGACTTCTATTCGTACGACGATATGAATTTGGACTTCGATAAGAACAAGATCGCCGTACTGTATGACGCCTATGCGAGATTTCGACGAACGTATTACGGATCCGCGAGCGACGAGACGCTTCTGACTATGAACAAATTTCTATACTGCGGCCCGCTCGTGGTGATAAATTGTTCCCGCCAAAACGAAGCGATTAAGAACGCCACTGTGGACGTTCGTCTAGAATTCGACTGCAAGGACAACGTTTCTTCTAACACCACGGCGTACTGCCTAATCATTCACGATCGCGTGGTGGAGTACAATCCGCTGACGAACGTCGTGCGTAAGATCTTGTAAGACGGCGCGTCGAATGGGGGGAGAGAGGAAACTCGAAATCGCGAAGATATCGGGGAGAGACGCGAATAAACGTCAGTCTCTCGCGACGATGACCGCAACGACGATCACGGGCGATATCGCCCCCCCGATCTTCGTCGATCTGCAGGGCTTCGTCGTCAACGAGCGATTCGCGAACGGCAGAGATCTGACGCATCACGTCTTTCGCGCGCCGATGTCGTGGAATCTGCTGACGAAGAGCGAGAAGTCGCAGGCCTGTTGGCTGACTCTTAATCACCACGAATTTCACTGGACCGACGGACACGTGGAGTATAGGCACGCGAAGCAGATCGTTTGCGACGCGATATATCGCGCGTCGAGGGATCTCGAGTCGAACGCCGCGGTGACGATCTACGTCAAGGGTCGCGAGAAGAAGAAGTGGCTGGCCGACATCGCGGGAGAGGTCGTGCAGCAGCTCGACCTGACGATCGAGACCATCGACGCCGATTACGAGGATATCGAACCCCTTCGAACGCTAGCCGCGACTCGCGTCTATCGCTGCGGCTATCACTCGAAGAATTGCGCCTTGGAAAACGTGTGCAAACTGCACAACTGGTGATTGGAGAGACGCGATAAATTGCGCGAATGTGAACAGACGCGTCGTGCGATGATTCGCGCGCCTCGCGTGTTTTCCGCATCGTAGATTAGTTTTGTGCGTACTCTTATCGACGACTAACTTTTTTATCTCGCGCGCGTCGACTTATCGCCTACCTAAAAAAGTATTATTAATACTTAGAAAGATACTATTAATACTAAGAAAAATAATATTAATATTAAGAAAAAAATAATATTAAAATAATATTAAAATAATATTAAAATAATATAATATTAATTAGCGAATAAACGTTAACTCGTATCGCGCGTACGCGGTTAAACGCATTTTCCGGCACTTCCTCCGGAGCAATCGAGAATTTATCGCGCCTCATTAAATTACCTCGTTATATTTCCGCATCGCACGATTTTTTCATACCGTCTTAGATTATAGCATTAGCATTAGCATTCGACGGAATCATAACGACTCGGCGATAGCGATGTCGCGCGATTTTTTCATACCGCCTTAGATTATCGCATTAGCATTCAACGGAATCATAACGACCCGGCGATAGTAATATCGCAGGTATAAATTACCGCCGAGAAACCGTTTTTTCTCAGAATGAGTCTCGCGATCGCGTTATTGAGTGCGTCTGATATTGCAAGTGTTCTCAGTGCGTCCAGTGTTCCTAGTATGTCTAGTATTTATTCATTCATTCATTCATTCATTCATTCTCGGAGTTATTCTTTCGCGCGAACGACGATGAGCAACAACGATGAAATTTCGAGATTGCGGAGAATGCTCCACGAATGCACGTTTACGCCGTGGATGTGCGTCTGGAAGATAAAGTACATCAGAAATCTCATGGATGCGATCCTTAATATAGTGGTAACGTGGAACGTAAATACCCGTTCATCATCGTTCTTTATTCTTTCGAGGAAAAATACGACGTACATTGATCGCGCGACATTTTTCACAGTTCGAGAAGGAGGTGGAGATCCAAGGATTTGTGAACATACGTCGCCGACATTGGATACGACAGACGAGACTGAAGCAACGTCGATTCTTAAACTCGTTATGGTGCGACCGGCCGTCCTATAGAAAATGGGAGAAACGCTCCCCTAATATCTATGCCGACATATTTCGGCTAAGAAGATTATTCGATATGGAGCCGGTCTCGGATCATACGTTTAAAACCGAACATTTCTGCGACGACGATTCTCCTGTGGAGATATGGTACGATGACGTGAGCTCGATCGAGGAAACGAGCTCCGTCCGCACGGACGACAGCAGATTTTAACCGAGGTATGGATCTCTTTTCGTATAACGCGCCGTTCTTTCCTTTCGCGTATCTCGATACGAATTATTAATACATGGCTTTACATATTTCAGACGTCTCGTCAATCTCGACGTCGAAGGACAGCGTCGAAGGACGGTGCCGAAGGACGGCGCCGAAGGACGGCGTCGAAGGACAGCACCTTCCCTTCCTCCCGATCTCCGCCCGCATCGCCCCACCTTCCCTTGCGCGCGTCGTTCGAACGCTTCTTAGATTTTTTTGCTAACCACTGCCGATCTGAAAGCGACAAAAACTTCTTGATTCCATTCGGTTCGTATCGTTCGCTATCATACGACGGACGTGTCGGCGCACTCTTTCAGATACACGATCCTCTATATTCATCTCTATATTCATACAATCCATTTTATAGGGTCATTTATGGGTCATTTATGGTTGATTTATGGTTCATTTATAGGTTATTTATAGTTCATTTATGGTTCATTTATGGTTCATTTATGGTTCATTTATAGGTTATTTATGGGCTATTCATAAGTAGCTTCCCAGGTAGCAGAGTGATGAAATCTTAATAACATTTTAGTAATGTCAGTTGAAGAACGCGTCAGTTTGAGTATATAAGTCTTGTTTTGCCGCTCCTTTTTTTTAAATGGTCGTTTCATATGGGTCGTTCTTACAGTCGTTCTTACAATAAATTTTCCAGTTTAAACGCACATGTTTTTGTAAGACCGTTTATTTTAGATACGTAATTTTTTTTTTTAAATGGTCGTTTCACATGGGTCGTTCTTACAGTCGTTCTTACAGGTCGTTCTCACAGGTCGTTCTTACAGGTCGTTCTTAGGTTGTTCTCACAGTTCGTTCTTAGATCATTCTTAGATCGTTCTTAGGTCGTTCTTACAGGTCGTTCTTACAGGTCATTTTTTACATACCGTTGCGCGTTAAATCATATTCAATCGTATATATGTTTAATAGTCATATATTTTAATCGTATGTATTTTAATCGTATATATATTTAATAGTCGTATATTTTAATCGTATATATTTAATAGTCATATATTTTAATCGCAAATATTTAATAGTCGTATATTGTAATCGCTATATTTCAATCGCTATATATCACATCCATCGTCGATAGTCCCACAATTATCGAGAGCAAACAGGGAGGAGGACTCGAAGACTCCGCGTCCTCTCAAACATTATATTAGAATATATTAGAATATTATAATATATTAGAACATTATATTAAGCGTTATATTAAGCGTTATATTAAGCGTTATATTAGAATATTATACATTAAACGTTATATAAGTATACGTAGATCGCGCAAATTTTTTTGTATGAATAAAGAATCATTTTTTGTATGAATAAAGAATCATTTTTGTATGAGTAAAGAATCATTTTTTGTATGAATAAAGAATCATTAAAAAAAAAAAAACGTTCGTTCTTTCCATCACCTCTCTAGCGCGTCCGAGAGTATCTTCCCTCCCCTCCTCTTTTTGTACGAATAACGAATCATTTGTTTCTTAAAAAAAAAAAAGTTCGTTCTCTCGATTGTCCTTCTCGCGCGTCCGAGCGTATCTCCCCTCCCCTCCCCTCCTCCCTCTCCCTCGTACGACGCTTTCTCGCGTTCTAGAGAACAATATATCGCCGAAGGACTCGCGCGCGCGATAGTTCGCGCTAACACCTCGCGAGAGCCATGACGCGCGTCGCGTTATCGCTCGCGCTGACGATATCCCTGCTCGCGGCCGTCGCGGCGGCACTGACCTACGATGACGTCGCGGAAGCGTCCCGTTATCTTCGAATCTACGGCTTTCTGGAGAACGAGGAGAATCATCAGCAGTCGTCGCTATTGGACAACGCGACCGCCCTAAGCGAAGCGCTATCATTGTTTCAGGAATACTACGGCCTGCCGGGAAACGGCGTTCTGACCGTGGAAACGATTTGCGTCATGCGCAGGCCGCGATGCGGCGTCGCGGACATTCACGCTTACAGCCCGTTGACGAGAAAGTGGTCGAGGACGCATCTCACGTGGAACTTCAAACTAGCGAACAGAGATACTCTGCGCACGACTCAGAGCGCGTTCGCTCTGTGGTCCGAGCAATCCTCTCTGACGTTCTCGCGCGACCCGCTGCGCCCCGATATACTGATATCCTATCAATCCGGCGCTCACGCGTACGAGAACAGCGACAACGGGGGCTCGTGTCCGTCGCCGTTCGCGGGACCGGGATCGGTCGTCGCTCACGCGTTCTTTCCGACGGGAGAGCCCAATCAAGTGACCGAGGTGCACGTCGACGAGACGGAGCCGTGGCACATCACGCTGACCAGGCCCTCGTCGGACAGGCTGTATCTCTTTCAGACGCTGACGCACGAGATCGGCCACACTCTGGGTCTGACTCACAGTATGAGGGAAGATTCGGTCATATACGCGTACACGCCTTCGGAGCAAAGGCGATATCCGCTCAGGCTGAGCATAGAGGACGTCATAAACGTGCAAAATCTCTACGGATCGAGAGAGACGACGATCCGAGAGAATCCTACGATCGTCGACGCTACTCCGACGACCGCGGTGACAACTACGACGACGATGGCCTCGATGACGACGACGACGACGACGGCCGCGGCGCCGCCGACGACCGCGAGGACGGTTAAGCCGTCGCTCGCTCCCTCCGATATCGCGGATCTATGCACCTTAGTAGGATATATAGGAGAGTTCTAACTCAGGTCCTCTCAGGGGGGGTGAGGCGCGCGGGGGATGACGTCACGCGGGACGGAGGGATTTCGGCGGCGGCGCGTGTTTATGGCAATATTATATTACATGCCCGGCTGATAAACAGTATTGCGTACGGACATGTTCGGTTTATAAATAATATAAACATCAGCATTTTTTGAATTGAGATTATGATCGTATAATAGAGATGTGACATTATCGCCATATCGTCGTAAACGCCTCGTAAAAAGTATGCGCGGTCCCATATATTTATCGAAAGTATATGAAATATTGTATCGCATACCCGGTTGATAAATAATATAAACAAATAGTACCTCAGAATCGTCTTTCACGATTTTTTCTCGGAAGAATTTTTAACGTATCAGCGCCGATGTTTGGCTGCTTTGTACCCTTGCTTCCACCGCTCGTATATCAGCGCTTTCGCGGTACACCCCTCACCCCCGATATAAGTAATTCTAGATTTTTTCGTTCGACGTATCCTTATCTCTCTTTTTTTCCTAGTGTTTGCTCTCTCATGATAACTCTCTCTCTCGCGAGGAGCTATGCATGAAAGCTGGGATGGGCAAACGCAAAGAAAGTACACCACGATATAGTAAACTTAAAACTCTTTATTCAAGTTTTTATATATTTTTTTTGTCTTACATATTATATGGACTAAAAGCTAAAGCCGCCAGCTCGCAATCGACGAGTTGATGCTTGTTGAAAACGTCACTCGCGCGTATTACATTTGATACTTCTTTAAGATCCGTTACAGTGGACGCGATAATTTTTGGAGAATTGCGTAAATTTGACATCGACTGTCTCGATCACTTTATTCAATCGATCAAAAGTTACATCTATGCAATCATCGAGATCGAACATGCGATGTAACGTCGATTCGACCATCATCATGCATACGTTCGAAGATTCGAGACTTATGAGTTTGGCGTCGTTAATCGTACGAACTCGCACTGTTAGCGGTCCAACGCTTATAAAATTATATATGTCGTGAGAGTCGTTCCGAAGGAGATTTAGAATATTGCGACGTTGCTCGCAGAGTCCCTTCCACGTTTCGAGAGATAATATCAGTCCCTTTCCCCGATGATCTCCTATGATAATCTCCACGTAACTCGGCGGACCCACGTTGATACCGATTTCGAGGAATTTGAATTCCGTAGCTGTCAATGCGTATCGTCTGCCTAGTATACGAACCGCACGACGCTCCGACGAAATGCTACGGGAAAAATTAAAATTAAGTAATACTAATAATACAATTTGTAAAAATAGAAAAATAGAAAAATAGAAAAAAAAATGTTAAACGAAACTTACTCGTCGTATTTATTCTCAAACGATGGAGTTTTATCACGACTCGGCACGTAATTATTCACGTGTCTTCCGATACCGTTGCTGCTTCTTTCAATGTAGTACATTTCTCTGGGAGGTTATGAAAAGTGAATCCACGAGCGGTTAACGCGACACTGGTCGGAATTACAGGAATTAATCGGTTATACCCGACGCTCATCTACCAAAAGTATAATGTCGTGGTGGGGGATCAATGCTTCTAACGCATTGGAATTTAGGATAAAAGGGAGGCGGCGCTCGAACAAAAAAATTCTTAGAAACGCATGCAAAGGGTTAGGGTGGGGAAATAAGAGAGATAACGCATATTAATGTTTACATATTTTATTTTTCTCGCAATTCTTTCTGGCGTCGCGACCACCAATTAAATATTTTGAATACATTTTGTAATGCGCAATTCTTAACATGTTTTCCGCATCGCATACTATTCGTATCATCTAATTTATTTAGAGCATCGATATCTTCGTAATCCGCATCCAAGGTTTCAATAATATAGCCGTTCCGCGCATCGTCTAGTATATCGGCCAGCCATTTTTGCTTTTCAAGTCCTTTGACGTACACGACAGACGATTCTTCTTCTTCTTCTTCTTCATGTATCGTACCAACGACAGCTGTTGTAATCGCACGCTGAGCCAAACCATACGGAACGTTTCCGTCTTCCCATTGTAATCCGTGATGATTTCTAATCAGCCATGAGACTTGACATCGCTCAGATTTTGTAAGCGTGTGCCACGGTACGGGACTTGCGAAAAAGTAATGCGATAGAACGTATCCCTTTTTCAAGACTGCCGCTTCCTTCACGACAAAATTTTTCCCAACGATAAATCCTTGCAGATCCACAAACGTTGGTATGGACATGACGAGATCTCTCTCTCTTCGAACCAGTTGAGAGGAACGACAAAACTCTAAAACCATCTCGCAAGACTTTGATTTATATCATGCTCCTCTTCCCCCTCTCTCTTCTGTCGATGTTATCGCCTAGGTGATTTTGCGTACAACGTTGGTCAACGGATTGTACTGGATCACGCGATCGTGTATGATGAGGCAGTACGCAGTGGTATTCGGCGGCACGTTCTTCTTACACTCGAATTCCAATCTCACATCCACAGTTGCGCTCTTGACCGATTCGTTTTGTCGAGAACAATCGATAATCACGAATGGACCGTGTTGTAGAAACTTCAGGACGTTGAGACTCGGCTCGAGATACTCGTATCCGTAATAATTCTTGCAGAAGCGTGTGTACGTATCATATAGAATGGAATATCTGTTTTTATCTAAATCCAGATTCATATCGTCGTACGGATAATATTCCGAATTCAGATAAAGTTTAACGTTGATCAATTTGCAGTGGTCGAATCGACTCGTATCCTTAGGCATGACATTCTTCCGACCTGTCTGCAGAGCGAAGATAACGTATCGTGGTTTCTCCAGTTGAGTCGCAGTCTTAATGGCCCACGAATGCTTGGTTGTAAGCTGCAATAGCGGATACTCGTACAGATCCCACGAGCGAAAAGCCATGCTGAGATATCGTCCGCTTTCCAGAGCACGCAGCATCGACAACTTTTTGATTTCACTCAACAGCACGTGAGGCATTCGCCATTGTATCTTGAATATGTCGATCACAGGCTCCTGCGCCGAATTTCCATGCAGACAATTGTTGTCGTTGCGCGATCGTATCAAGATCAATTCGTGACGAGCGTTAATCACCACGCGTCTGTAATCCTCGCAAAATCCCAGCAACATGTAGAGCGGTACGCAAAAATTGAAATGTCCATTCGTGTAGGTAAACGGCTCCCAGCCAGCATTTTTCAAAATCGTGTCTCTATCGGATGATACCGTTACATAGTTTTTGAGCGTAGTAGTTATTCCTACGTTTCTATTGCGATCAATCTCAACGCCGTCGAGTTCGTATCGAATCTTGTCGAACATGAATGCGACGCAATTATTTCCCATTATCACATCATTTTCTCCTTCAGCTGGTGGTTTGTTTTTCGTTAGTCGTCCCTCGATGTATAGGAAACTCTCATGCGGCAGCGTATACAGATCCTGTTGTTGTATGGGTATTCTTATCTCGTCATTGTGTCCGAATGTTATATTGGCGAACGGGTTGTACGTGTGAGTCTCGATCTTGACGATACGATCGTCAAAGATAGGTTCGTCACCGATGTTGAGAATGTCGGTCATCGTTCAGCTGTTTCGCACCGCGAATCCCAAAGATTGCAAAAACGCAACGTTCGATGCGCTGAGTTTCTTTTTCTCGGATGATTGGATATTAGTGAATGTCGACGTTGATGTTGTTGGTATCTCTGATTTCGTAAAGATTGCGTTATCTCTCGCGTCTTTCGATCCGTTCAACACGAGCATCTCATACGTAGCATACGTACGTACGTTATCGCCGCAGCCGTCGTACGTGCAATCTTACGGTGATCTCTTCTCCACGAAAATCGAGCAATCGTCCGTTCTAGTCAACAACGCGTAACGTTAAATCCGTAATGCTCCGCGCGATGATCGGAAGGTAAATGATCTGCGCCGGCGTTTCCGATATCTTATATCCCGGCGGTACCCTCGGTGAAAATTCGTATCGTATGAACGAGTTTGCCGTTGTTGTACGCGCCCGCGGTCACGTTACATTCTACGCGGATAATATTAACGTTGATAATGTTAATCGGCATGTTCGATTCGTACCATTTTCCCGGCTCGAGAATACGATTCGAGAATCCTAGCAGCGATCCAATGTTGTCGGGTTTGCTAAAGTTTAATCTGTATGCGCATTTGATCTCGCTTCTCATTGTATTGTAATTAGCGCGGAGCACCATCGGATATTCGCCATCTTCGTAGTCATCGCCGTCAATGTGTTTCTTATCGTGATGTTTCCGTGAAATTGCACGTTTCAAAAATTCATGTATATCTCGCAACTCGTACGATCCCTCGGGAATCGTAATTTCCGCGTCGTCTTTGCCAAAGTAAAATTTATTATTCGAGGAATTCACGTTCGGTATCGTGTGATAAGTCTCAAAATCCGTTAGACCGAGTTCGTATTCATCGTCGCTCAAGTCTACAGTGGGAAAGAAATTTGCCGCGAGAACGCTACTCTTCCCAGTCAACGTGAATGTCATAGACATGTCGACAAAACTGTTGAACTAATACTGACAAGGAAAGGGTCGGAAGTGTCCCCCTCCGATTTTAATGAGCTTTGAATATGTTGTAGTCTAGATCAAAATAGGAGACACGTATTTTTTTATAAGTGCTGAGTCGGCCGTTAAGGGGGTGAAACACCTTCTTGAAAAAAATCGATTTTTTCATTTCTCAGCGGATACCGTCGAAGCGATAAGAGATATAAACAAAAGTTTCAAATAAAAGTTTTATGGTCTTTAATGTACTTCAAAATCATGTAATCAGATTTGTCGAAAATGTCATATTTTTCGAAATCCCCCCCCCTCCCTTTTAATGTTTGAAAATTTTTAAATTTGTCTCATAACAAAACTTATAGCTCATTTAACGACAAATTCAATCATATATAATAAAGTTGTATTCCGAAGTCATTATATATATGTATATGGAAATATTACATAAAATACCGTACATAATTATTGCATACAAGAATAACAAATATTCATGGTTGATATCGGTTACAAAGATGATGATCATGA